AGGCACAGGTTTGTTAATTTCTTCGCAAAATAAGTTTTTTTTTTTTTTTTTTTTTTCTAACATCCATAACGAGATGCTTTCGCTCTCTTCTGTTCCGGGTTTTTCCGGAAACCGTGTGGCCAGTCAGATGCTTAGTTCGATGACTACTAAAACTCAGTTTCGCTCAGCCCCAGCTCTCCCTTTTCTCCTTCACTCATTCTCTGACGCAAAGGTGGATGGAGTGAGCACTGCTTGCGAGATTGAACTTTGTATTTTATTTTGAGGCGGCAATATGCTTTTGTTTTTGTCAGGAGACCACGACTGGTCATGTCAGCTGGATATGTGGTTCCTGAACGCTCCTGGTTCCGGGTTGTGCTCGTCGCTCTTGCGATATCTATTTGCGTACAGGTACACTTGTTCAGCTTTTCACGCTTTCCCTGTTTGAATTTTTTGTCCGCAGAAAACTTCTGAACTTTTGATGTAAAGAGCGAGGGGTGCAGGGTGTGCCGATCACATTTGACCTTTTAAGGTATTATGGCCTTTGGTGCAGCAGTACGCAGTGCCACAGAGCGCAATATGCAGGTTGCAGTTCATCCCTGAATTCGTCAAGCACGGGTATTGTTGGCCCTATTTATCCCAAAAACGCGCCCTCTCAGTCAGGTTAACGTTTTTTCTCGAATACACCAAAACACTCTTTACAGTGCTTACTTTGCCACATTGCTTGCGCAGCGTTCCAGTATATTTCAGAAGCGTTGGGTGTACGAATTTTTTCCATGATATCCTCAAATATTAGCGCAGGAAAAACACCATCACTAGGATGTGCACATGGAAAGGTCGCTGGGATAGGTTAGGACCACTGGCATGTGTTTCCTGGCCACTAGGACGTTTTCGCGGGAATTCTGCAGTAAGTTTGCTGCGGCCATCAAGATGTGCTCTTAGGCCTCTGGAATGGGCTTAATTAGACTACTAAAGTTTATTTGCTGGAGCTGTCATTTGCTGGGCCATCGGGATGTGTCTGCAGGCCACGGCACTGAGCTGCTACGATCTCTTTACTGAGCTAACTAAGTTGTGTATACTAGATTTATTCAGATCACTGATTTGTGGCAGCTAATTAAAAAAAAAAAAAAAAAAAAATTCCGTCTTTTTAGCTGACGTTCAAAAGAACTGCTTACCAACCTCTGTTTCAGTTTTTCTGGTACCAGAGAATTAGGATTTTTCGTTGACCCACTATTATCTGTGAAGCCTTCATACTCTACGCGATATTTTAAAAAAGTGGAAACTGCCTTAACCCGAAGAATTCGACCGGATCTTGCTGTATGGGATTGGAGGACAGAAAAAGAAGCATTTGCTGCTTTGAAAGCTTCAGTTCAGTCAAGAAAACGAGGAAATATTCGGAAGGTGTGCTTGCGATGATGCCTTTGTCTTGTAAGAAGACGGTGTTGATGTGTTTTCATTTGGAAAAGAGTCAAAAACCGCTTTATGATTACTTTGTATAGATGGGCAGCACCCGGAAGTAGCTTGGCTATTAGCAAGCACTGACATCAACTACCGGCTGACAAGACTGTCTTCCATAGCACTTTTTTTCGAGAGTTGTGCCGAAGCAAGCTGATTACGGTTGTAATTCCCTGGTATATGCCAATACCAATTTATCGTCGAATTGGATGAACGAGTCATAGAGAGGTTCATTGCTTCATCGACAAAATCCTTCTGCGTCGGAGTGCTGCCGTTCCAGCTAGCACACATTTGTTCAGAATATTTTCACAGCATGCTCTAATTTTTTTTTTTTTGATGTTTGGATCGAGAAGCGTTTACTTCTGTGATTGGTTTCAAAAGCGCCAAAGATTGTTGAATTGCTAACATATTATGGTTTCAGAACCAGTAAGGGATTTTAGAGACTCCAGCGGAGTCTGCTTGCAAAAATTTTAGGGCTTCCAGATGAATTTTTTTCTCATAATTTGCAGCGAGCGCGAGAAGTACATGCAATGCCAGAAAGTTTTGTCTGTTGAGAGCAAGAAATTAGGCTCTGCTTGTATCACTCATCTCTGTTGGCGGGTTTTTCCGAAAGTCTCTGAAAACAGAAGCGCAGTGTTTTGAGTAGTTTAATCAACGCTGAACTATCGATGTTGAAATTAGTCTGTATGGCCATAATAGAAGAAAGTCAGTCTCCATAGAACAAAACTTTTAGAGGAGTCGAAGAAACAAATTAGATGGAACTGAAGTCTTTTTTGTGGCTGGGGCTCTGCTGCCGAGTAAACCAGTTCTTTGTTATGAGCAAATTCATCATCCCCAGCAAGTAAATCCTCTTCAGACCCTGCCATTTCAACATGCATTTTCGCATAACCAGGCTTTTGGTGGTCGACGTACGAGTACTTCTAGTTGTTGCTGCGAGTAAGGGTCAGTTTGTGTGCACCAGTGTTTCAGGAAGATGGAACCGCGCTTTCCACGCTTACCGTCCCAGTTTCTGCCGAGGAATATCTCTGTTAATGCTCAGGGCTCAGGTAGCGCTGCAGTTCCAGGGCTCAAACACTCCGATCGAAATGCAAAATTTGTTGGCCACTTGCAAAACTGATTCCTCACAATATTGTAGGCAGAAAACATCATACAACATGCACTGGCGTTGGCACCAAATCATCCTGATGTTTTGACCGAGTACGGCATCGTAATCGAAATTGGACGAAAGGATTTAGTGCAAGCCGAAGAGTACTATACTCGAGCTCTCAGTTACAATCCTCATCATCCTGAAGCTTTAATGTGGGTGACTTCTTACTTTGATAATTTTAACAGATGGCAAAGCTAATAAAGTGGACTCGAAATTGCTAGGAATGAGAAAATTAGGAACAGTTTATATCTGTTTCTTCGATTTTGTCTTTTGTCTGGAAGATACGACTGCTTTCATCTTATTTGCAATAGTAGATGCAATCCCGTAAACTTCTGATCGTCGTTCTCAAAACCTTCTCCGTATTCTGTGTGAGGGACGGAGGCACCAAATGCCAGCAACAACTACTTACTCGCAAAGCCGTCCATGCCTCCGTCTCTTGAGGACTGCTTGCAAGCGGGCTGGTAGCATTTTTGCTCTTTGGCATATGCCAGTACCAATTTACTGTCGAAACGAATGAATGGATCTTAGACGGATTGGTTGTCCCACCGGCGAAATCGGATCCTCGATCTTTTACAGAACAGTGCTATTTTCCACCGCCGTATACCACCGATCTGTTCTCGTCATACAATCCCAAAATCCCTACAGATGCAGAAGCTATTCTTTGATTGGACAACTTGTAGTAATCTCCGTCCCAAAGGGCATCTATAGATGGTCTTTTCGAAGATTACATGGAAAGCATTATAAGGGTGAACTGGGTTAATGAATCGAGAGCCAGATGAGAACATGTCGTAGTGGAATTGGTTGTACGAGAACTGCTTTAGACCATAAGCCATTTAATACAGGTAGAGCCCTGTGCTAAGTAGACTGCACACGTTGCTTCTGTTTTTGCCAGTGTTTTTGATTGTGCCATGCTTGTATTTCAGGAGGCGAGCGAAGACGCTTCCTTTAGTCGAAGAAATCGACAAAGAAATGCTGAGGAAGCTTGAGAAGAAGCGTTCTTATTTTTTGCATATACCAAGGACCAGCACAGCTTTGCGGCAGGTCATGAGAGAATCGTATTTTCTGCACGTCTATCATACTGTTGCGATTGAAGGCAATACGATGTCTCTTGGGCAGACAAGGTGACCAGTCCTCTTGTTAAAGTAAACATGCTTTTGCGATCTAATTGGTGAACTAATTTCGGCAAAAAATGCACTGTGCATTGTATTGAAACGATGACGGGCAACTTTGGTTTTGCCCGACAAAGCGTTATTAATTATATCCGTTCTTTCGGCTTCCTCAGCCGTTTTTATGCGTCTTTGCATGTTGATCGCACCGGCAAGCAGCCTGGTTTGACAGAACATCACTAAGGGCGCACAGCTCGCGACATTTTCTCATTCGTTTTTGCGGTGCAGGAACTATGGCGATGCAACAGCCAGCAAAAAATGTTGTGACGACCCATTGTTCATGTGTGTTTTTCGAGATTTTTTAACTCGGCAGCCAAGCAAGCTTGAGTTATTTTACCACTCTAGCTAATTTCATGTGCCTAGACCTCTTATTTGAGAGAGTACAGAGATGGTTCTGTTTTAGGGCATGTTTTTAGTTAATTTACGTTTTAGGTCGATATTGGAAACGAGGTTAGCGGTGGCCGGAAAAAGCATCTTAGAACATAACGAGATATTGGGGATAGACGCGGCATTAAGATTCATCAATCAGAGTGTCCCGCACCTTCTTCATATCGCTGTTCAGGTACATCTGCTTCGTCGATCACGGAATGAGTTAATTTTGCTTTGCAGAAATATGGCTTCTGATAAAAGGATATGTCACCACCCTCCGCTGTAACCTTACGTCCTGGAATATTTTGCATTTTTATGCGTTTTTTGCAGCAATGCAATGCGAAAAACGCATATTGACGAGAGGTTGT